TGAGTCTTCTCAAATCTCAAATAATGGACGAAATAACTCCCAGATAATTCTTGAAAACAGCCAATAGGCAAGCTTTCAGCGACATGACTGGCAAACTATTGACCGATTATCAATTCAGTACTCTCTTTCAAACAAACCCCTTTGCAAATATTGAATCAATGGTAAAATAATTTACTAATACAATAATCGAAGCAGCAGAAATCACAATCGGAAAAAGCCAACGTACTTCTGCCAGGAAAAAGGACCCATGGTGGAACAACGAATGCAAAACAGCCATGAAGAACTACAAAAAAACCATAAATAAATTAAAGAAAGCAAGACATCAATCTGACAAAATTAAACTTAAAAAATTCAGAGCTATATCACGCCTAACAATTAACAGCAGTAAAACAAACTCTTGGAAAGAATTAACTTCTAGTATCAACCATAAAACCCCATCCAATATAATGTGGTCCAGAATTATGAGTATCAAATGAATCAATAGAACTCAACCTAAAACAATAAACTATCACAAAAATCAACTCTTTGGCAAAAAAGAAATAGTAGACACTTTTAGCTCCTTTTTTCCAATTAAACAACAGCAATGAAAATTATGATATCCATTTCTTATCTTATAAAACAATGGTAGAAAATACCTCACCAGTCAAATATGTGATAAAAACTCCGATAATCCTATAAATGATCCTTTCACCATCACTGAACTCAATAACTATATTTTTTAAAAAAAAGAGCAAAAGCCCCGATCCCGATGGAATACCGTTTTCGTGCTTAAAACACCTCTCCTTTTTATCTCTTAATTATTTACTCAATATCTTCAACAACATATAGACTAAAAACCACTTTCCAAAATAATGGAAAGCCGCCACCATCATTCTTATTCCCAAGTCTAATAAAAACATTTTCGATATCAATAATTATAGACCAATATCACTTATTAATACTATGAGCAAGAATCTTGAAAACATGGTTAATACTCGACTAATATGGTTCCTTGAAACACAGAATCTTCTTTCCCCCATCAGTTCGGTTTTCGGGGCAACCGCTCCACCATCGACTCATTGACAAAAATCCACATAAACATATGTGATTCACTTGACATCAAAAACCATCTCTTAATGGTTTCATTAGACATTTCTAAAGCATGCGATTCAGTATGGAAACATAGAATTCTACTCATTCTACAAAAATGGAATCTCCGAAGCAATAAACTAAAATGTATTAACAACTTTCTTGAAAACAGAACCTTCGAGGTTAAATTCAGAAACACTCTATCATCACTTTTTACAACAGGAAATGGCCTTCCACAAGGTTCCTCTTTAAGTGTATCACTTTTCCTCGTAGCGATATTAGCAATCATATCAATCCACTCGTCAAAGTCCTACTATACGCAGATGACTGTAATATTTTTTGCTCAGGCACAAACATTCACAACACAAAAACCATTGTGCAAACCGCTATCGATAACATTTCTCAATGGTCGAAGAAAACTGGCTTTAAATTTTCCTCATCAAAATGCAAAACAATTCTTTTCCACCGAAAAAACAAAATTCTTTCTCCTACAATCAAAATGCAAGAATTAATTCTTGCTCAAACCAACAGCATACGACTCTTAGGCAGTGGCGTAGCCAAGGGGGGGGATAAGGGAGCTATAGCTCTCCCCCATGGGCCGTGTTTATATGTATAATGTATCTTGACTATTTAATAGAATCAATGGATGCTCGTTTTAATCAAAGGCTTATTGATGTTATGCCACTTGAAGGACTTATTCCGGACAATTTAAATATGTATGACGATAAAAATATTATAAAAGCTGCTAAAATATATGTCCAAGATCTCCATGATGATACTTCATCTACAATCAGAGCTTACCTGTTCATATGGAGGCAACAATAGAGTCAAAAAACTATTCCAAAACCGAATTCTGCTCTTGATTCACTCTCTCATCGCACCAATCTTCGATTACATTAAAATAACATTAAAATACTTTTACAATTATTCGCCACGTTATCAGTTACCTCTTTCACTCCGGAAAGAACGTTTTCAGCACTTAATCACTTAACAATTTTTTTAATAAGCACTATATCGGAAAATAGACTGAATGGGTTAGCTATGGCTTATATAAATAAAAAATGAGCAATTCGATGAAAGTGAAATAATAACTGAATTTGCCAGAAATTTGCCTAAGAGGATACAGCTATCAGAGTGGAGCAAGGGACTGAACACTAAAACCAAAATTATTATTATTATTATAAATTTTATATTAATAAATATTTTTAAAACTATACTAAAATGCTTGAAATAAGTTTAGAAACTTGGTGGTAGATGGTGGGGGGGGGTTAAGGGTGAATTCTCATATCCTCTCTTACCTTACTTATCCAAAAAAGTGGTTAGCCCCCCCTATTTAAAAATCCTGGCTACGCCACTGCTCTTAGGTCTAACTTTTGACCACAAACTAAAGTGAACTGCACATCTAAAACAGCTGAAAACAAATTTAAAAATAAAATTATAAGCCACTACAAATAGGGAGTTGAACGCAAAACCCTTCTCGTCCTTTTTAATTCTATTATAAAATCAACACTTGACTACGGCTCCACAATTTATGGCTCAAGTACTCCCAACACCCTTAAATTACTTAACCCTATACACAATGCTGGAATCAGCCTGCCTATAGGAGCTTTCAGAACAAGCCCAATTAACAGCCTGCATTATGAGTCCAGCATCCTTCCACTGGAATTTAGGTGCAAATACCTTTCCGTTAAATACGCAGCTAAAAAAATGTCAACACCACAAATCAAATTAAAAGAAATGGTCATCAAACCTCCCCGAACTCATAATTTTAAATCACTTTATGTTAAAATAAACGAGATTTTAGAATAAATATCCGTTATCAAAAACATAAGACCTATTGAAAGTCCCTCTCTATGTCCCCCATGTCATAATAACCTTATTGAAGTCAACACTGAACTTAAAAAATTTGACAAAAACTGTACACCTTACAGATAAATCATCAACTTGTTCTACGAAATAATAAATAATAACTTCAACAATTTTTACCATATATATGCAGATGACTCAAAAACCTCAAAACAAACAGGTTTCGCTAACATACATATGTCACAAAATATCTTGTTCAAACTTTCTCAACTTTCGAGCATCTACACAGCAGAATTCCTAGCAATATTTGAAGCACTATCAACATCTTCTCTATTCATAACTCACAATAATATCCTCATACTAAGCGATTCTATGAGCGCTATATCAGCTATATCGAACACAAACACAAAATGTAAAATTGCCCAATGTATTCAAAACAAAATACGCGCTTCCAACAAAACTATAAAAATAATGTGGTTCCCATCACACATCGGAATCCCGGGCAACGAAATTGCTGATGACCTTGTCTCAAAAGCAGCAACACTCCCCCACATCCGAATATATTAACTTATACTATATGAAGATATCACCCAAGTTCTAAAAAATAAGCTCCACTTTCCTATGGCAATCCCAACGGGTAAAACAAACATCAAACAAATTTTTCGGAATAAAACCCTCCATCAACACATGGCCGAAATCACAAACCAATAACTTCAACAGATAAGATGAAGTAATGATTACCAGAAGGTGCATAGGCCACACTAGGCTAATTCACTCTTTCTTATTAAGTAAAGACCCTGCACCACTATGTGATGCATGCCAATGTACTCTCTCGGTCAACCACATATTCCTCGAGTGCCCAAATTTTAACTCCGCCAGATCATTGTCAAAACTCATAACATCACCTAAAGAAGCCTTCGGCCACGGACAGGGATCCAACATCATACACTTCATTAAAACAGTAGAACTATCCTCTCTAATTTAATTCTGCAACTGTGTTATATTTGATTTACCCCTTCAAAGAATAACCTTAAACACCATTATTGCTATTACATCATATAATCATTAACACCACCTTTGCAATCCCTATATCATAATTAATCGGCCTTTTTTCTTCTAATTTTTATCTTTTTATCTACCATAGGGTAATGAACTTTGTATTTGAAGCCTTATCAAATATAAATAAAAAATAAATTAATATCCTGATAATTTTCCCTCAGAATTATAATATAAATTAATCTAATCAAATATTATTTTGATCAAATAATATGATTCGTTTTTAGTAATATTTCGTAGTTAAAAGAGTTAAAAATAAACACCCGGCTACAATATTCATACTTTAGAACCTTCGATTAATTATTCTAATACAGATTAGATAAAGATCTATTTTTCTATATATGGTTGCACTTTTTCAAAAAACAATTTTGACTGTAATTCGAATTAACAATAGTGTTTTGATATTTTTCAAACTCTTATAAAATTCAAATTAAAAGTCAAAAATTTATATTTTGGCTCTCATAAAATAAACATATTTCTTCAAAAATATGTCAAATCATTTATGTAATAAATGTTTTATTGTATTATAGCCAAGGAGGTATAAAACAATTGAAATTGCATTGCAATAAATGTCTGTAACTATTTAAATTTAATTAGAAGTATTAAAGAATGCTTATTCCATAATTTTACTTTATTAAAAAAAAAAAAAAAAAAAAAAAACAATATAAACTACAAATAATTGTAAAATTAAAAGCAAGAATAAAATATGAGTAATATTTACCTTTTTCTAGAAAGACGTTCTGTTATAAATTTTATAAATAAAAAAAATAAGTGAGTATATAAACTCACCTTAAATGCCTATTAATTTCAATTTATTCTCCAATACTAAACTTATTAAAGTTTAAAAAAACTTGTATAATATTTTTTAGATAAAGATTGTATACCATTAAACTTGAATAATACATTAACTCATTAATTTACTAAAAGTTATACAGATAATTAAGAGATATTTATATTTAAAAATTACATATTTTAATTACGCAGCCCACTACTGAACGGGTACGAGAAGTTTTATTTCAACCACTGTGAGTGAGCAGAAGCCATAAATGATTGTAAAAATGTTAACTTACCAATCGAAGTAAACAGTAAAATAACAGTGATCCAAAACATTGTTGCGCCAATCACTTAAATGTAATTTGATATTAGATTGTATGCATCGTGAATACTATCCTGTAATACAAAGTAATACAAATATATCAGTATTTATGGCAATTCTGTTAAATAAAAATGCAATTTAACTTTCAGTAAATATTTTATTCAATTATCTTCAATTAGCTTCGCTTAAGTTATTCCGACTTATCTTTTTAATTACAAACAATACAGAATACTATCAAAACGATAATAGAAGAATAGTATTGTCCTACCTAAAATTATTCTTAAAAGATATATTAAACACATTTTTAAACAAAAATACTATTAACCGTAAAAATTAATTGCATTTATACATAGATAAATACCACGTTTAATGAATAATAAAATTCAAATTATTCCAATGATTATAATATCCTATAGTTCCCGTCAACATAAATTCTTTTAGTTACTTAGACTGTAATACGGTTATTTATAACATTCGTTTCCTAAATTTTTATTAAATACTTATATTAATGGTAATAGATAAATAACAGTTTTAGATTTATTATGCTAAAGGCTAAACTTGTACCTTTTTGTTTAATATTTAAATATACTAAACGCATTTTAAGAAAATAAGAATGTTAAGTAGATGGTTACAAATTCATTGAAATAATTTTCATGATCCCTAAAAGAAACTAACACAAATTTTAATTTTAAAAATTTCCATTCTATTATTTAAGTGTTTCTTTTACTAAACATAAAATTAGAGTTCAATATTCAATAAACGTTGAATCATCACGATGTATGTATATGTGTTATTACGTGTTTTCTCCAAGGAATCGAAATACTAATTATAACCAAATAACATTTTGTTCATTATTATAACATTTCTTGTAATATTATACTGTTATAATATAATTGTATTGTATTATTTGTGATCGTATTTTTTAACCGACATCACTGACGTAATTATATTGCATAACCACTGCGCCGGCTTAATTGTAATAAACACGTTTAACTACCAATGACACCTACGTACGTGTTTTGCATAACCATCACGCCAGACTAAGATTTCACTATTTTGAATATTTGAAACGAATGTCCTTTATAATTTAACCCGTGTTCACTCGCACGCGGAACAGTGTTCCGCATATTAGACATTTGCGTTATTTATAGAAAAGTTATTATGTTTATCACTGTAGGTAGAAAGCATACCTTTAATGGTTATATAAAGAAGTAATAATAGTTAAGTAATAATAATTGGTTTATTTCATACTTCGATTAGTTGGGCGGGTGACATATAAGTGATAATTGTTGTGTTGTCTATATTTCCGCATGCGTGTAATAACATACCTACGTATTATTTAAACCTCGTTTATTACTATTTTTTTTTTTATTTTACTCGATTTATGTATTAATGTTTTAATTTAATTTAAAACAAAAAATGGCTAGAATAAGTGAAAATCAAATTGCTGACTTGTTAGAAGAAGAATCTAATATGCAGTATTTTATTTTATTTTTTTTTTTTTTTTTATATGTAAAATTGATAGATAAATAAAAATTTCATCTTACTTACTTTAAAAATTTATGAAAAATATTTATATTTTTATTTATTTATTATTTAATTATTATTTATTAATAATAATAAATACATAATTATTAACATTGAATTAAATTGTAATTTATTAGTTTTGTATATATATATATATATATATATATATATATTTTATGAGTTTACTAAATGCGGATCATAATCTTGCGTGCGAGTAACTATGATTTTGTACATCATGCGAGTGATCACGGGTTAAAGTACCTGTAACTATTCACCATGTAACAACACCATATGTTTCTATAGTTGCTACCTTTAATATATAATTAACCCCTAACAATATTACTAACACTGATTAATTTCCATGAATATATTTTCTAGATGTTGGAAACCATGGAGATCGAACCAGTTTCGTTTAATATATCGACTACTAATGACTTCTGTTTACGGAGAGATCACCCAAACAAGTCACAGACAGATTCTGATACACGCCTTCCAGCATAACAATTACATGAACATCACTTAAACATTTAACTCGTCTTGGTATACATACTTAAATATATTAAAAATTGACCCGACAAATGTTGTTAAGTCATATAAATTATTTCTAGATAATATTTTGCTAGAAAAAATAACTAATTTAATATAAGTGTGTAAAGATGTGCTGTGATCGGTGATGAAATATAAAAATTAACTAAATATAAAAAATAAATATATAAAAAATAAATTAAAAATTTAATAATTTATTAAAATTGATCCTTTAAAATTATTTATATATATATCGCTAATTATGACAATATTAGTAAAAAACAATACCAATCTCTTAATGCAACAGAGTTTACAATAATTTTTGCTATCCCATCTTTCGCCAACGCAGACAAACTGGATGGTTGGAGAACACGCCACGTATAACTATCCGTGTGAAAAACATGATGTGCTCAAATCTAAGGCACAGACAGAAATCGTTTGGTCTTAAGACTAATTGATGGTCATTGCAAATGCCAATTTAATTACATATTATTGTATTATGTAATATATCATTACATCATTTTTATAAACTTTATTCAGTTTTACCAAAACACCTCATCAGAATAGTATATATGTCATTTTATCAAGCAGTTCTCCAATATGGTATTAAGATTTGGGGTGGTGCAACTGCAAATGTAATTAAACCACTACAGCTGCAGCAAAATAAAATAATAAGAGTTTGTCTGGGTAAACAAAATTTAGTGGGGTCAACAGTACTCAACTATAATGAGCTAAACGTATTGACTTTCAAATTAATTTACCAACAATTTGCGACATTATGGGTTGTAGAAAATATAAAACTTATATAAACAAAATAGAAAATAGAAGGAAAAACAGAGCTATATAATACCCCTGTAGCCTACACAAATACCTCGTTTGATCAAAGATTTCTGAATTATCTTGTAACTCTCTATCTCCAACACAAGTATAAGCTTACAGGAGATAGGTAAATCAATTTAAATGATATTTAATACGTAATTCTGTCAAATATATATTTATAATAAGTAAATAAAAGAAAAAATAAAAAAATTGGAAATTGAAGGCGTTTAAATTGTTTTGACACATCTGTGGGTATAATAGGGATTCGTGGTAATAATATATTTTCACCTTGGTATTTGCCATTTAAAATGATGGCTTCGATCACGTTTTTCATTAATATTTAATGACTAATCGCGTGCCGTTGCACAACCATGGTGAGTTCAAATTACGAAGCAAAATAACCGGCGAACCAACCTTCAATTGTAAATTATGCGGTGGCATGCCTGGTAAAACCAATGAGTTTAAAAACTCTATTGGATAATTTACAGCTTCAGTAGCATCGCAAACTGTATCAATAGATTTGTATGACACCAAATCTCCAGGTAACAAATGTGTATCTTGAGATTCAATTCGTTGACGTCCACATTTTTTGTTGCTACAATTGCTCTTTCTGTCAGCCACTTATGATTTATGTTTTTTCTGTGTACATTGGGAAATATCTGGTCAATGAGAGTATCTTGCGAATCAATGATTGTGCAGAAATCGGTCAATAATTGTATGCATTCCGTTCCATCTGTAGTAACTTTCCTATCATCGATGTCTAACAATTGTTTAGAGAATCTTCCGCACCGTAGCTTTTTTTGATTGTATTGTAATTGTTCGCTCTTTATCATTACATAAATGTCGACCATGAATTGTTGACAAAGCTCATGACATCGTAGAATAACGTTGTCCTGATCGCATCTAATCATCAACTGATATGCATAATAATCCTTCGAACTACCATTCTTGATTGTTTTGGCACCTGTTGCGGGATCTTGTTGTTTAACATTTATGCAATACCCCTTATTTAATACCAAAAATAAAATTGATAGCTTTCAAATAGTTTTTAATAGTTTTTTAATAATTTTTTAATAGTATCATTTAATAATTCATTTTCAATTGCGCTGTTATCGACCTGGTCAAAAATTATTAAATTAAACTACGATTTATTAAACAATAGCACTTAGGAGTATAAAAATAGATAAAAACCTACCAAATGTATATACAAAATTGTATTAAAATTGGTTAAACCGTTTTTGAGGAGTATGGTCACAGACACCTTGACACGAGATTTTTATATGTATATATTTATATATAGATACAGATATAGATTATAAATTACGATTAAAAATAACCAGAATCAATTTTCAGTATGAATACCGGCCACCTATAGCCGATGAAATTATTTTAAGAGTTCATTCATTTTTGAGTTCAAAATTCCAAACAATTTACTTTGAAAATATAAAGAAACCTGATCTAATATAATTATAATTAGAACCTAAGTTGTTATTATTATTATTACAAAACATTCCTTTCTCAAACCCTAAGTGAACAAAAAGTTTAATCAGCGTTTCGATGAAATTTCCAAGAAAAATTGGATACACTGTAATTATGTAAGTTTAAGATATAATACATAGGTGACTATATTTAATATTCACTTACTATTTATATCAATTTTATCGGTCATGAAATGCATTATGTTTTGCAAATAAACATATACGTATGCTAAATAAGTATATATTTGTTCAGATTTCAATTATTAGCAATAAATTTTATAAGTCTTCCAACATATTATACTGTGATTTTCTTATATAGTTAAAATAACTATATTTTTATGTACTTTATAATTGGTACATTCTAAATTAAAAATATTTTTTTACCACATGTGTTCACGGATTTTTTTTTTATTGAGCACAAAAATATGAAAAAAAAAACATCTGGGAAGAAGGAAGTTAAAATTAGACCAAATTTTCAAAATAATTCATGAACTACAACGAAGTCCACCAAAAAGTTATTAATTATAATTCCTTAAACAAAAATATTTGAAATAATTTTACTAATAATTTTTTATTAAAAAATTATCATTTATTAAAGATCAAATAGACTACTATAACCCTTTTTTATAAAATATAATATCGAAAATATTCATAAAAAAATCAGCTAAATTGATCAAGGGAAATGTTCTAAAATAAATTATGCGATATTACTACTAAGGCCTAAT